CCAAACGATTGTTACTTTCTCGTTTATCATATATCCAGTGATTGTTACTTTCTCGTTTATCATATCTCCAAATGATTGTTACTTTCTCGTTTATCATATCTCCATTGGTTGTTACTTACTCGTTTATCATATATCCAGTGATTGTTACTTTCTCGTTTATCATATCTCCAAATGATTGTTACTTTCTCGTTTATCATATATCCATTGGTTGTTACTTACTCGTTTATCATATATCCAGTGATTGTTACTTTCTCGTTTACCATATCTCCAATGCTTGTTTCTATCTTCACTATTAAAGGATGTCTTACAAGATGCTGCAGACGAACGCGTGTAAAATCTTCTTATCTTTCACCACTCCAATGGTAGATTTTTTAGGGAGCATCTGCCCCTAGTTCCCCCTCGCCGATCTGACGCGTCTGGCGCACCCACTTTCACAGTGCAAAGTGACAGTGGCGCTCGCTATACAAACTGCCACCACCCTTCAGATTTGTTCTGTATCCGCCAGTATCACTCCAATGATGATACGTAGATTTTTAAAATTTATTGTACAAACTAAATAAACCTTGTTTTTTTATAAATATTAAATTGTATAGTGAAAAAACCAATACCACAACGGACTCTTTAAGGACAGCGTATTGTATTCTGCTTCGTGTTTTAACATATAACATATACGCTAATTTTTACGAACGATATTCTGTCTTCGTGTTTCAACATATAACATATACGCTAATTATTACGAACGATATTCTGCTTCGTGTTTCAACATATAACATATAAGCTAATTTTTACGAACGATATTCTGTCTTCGTGTTTTAACATATAACATATACGCTAATTTTTACGAACGATATTCTGTCTTCGTGTTTCAACATATAACATATACGCTAATTATTACGAACGATATTCTGCTTCGTGTTTTAACATATAACATATACGCTAATTATTACGAACGATATTCTGTCTTCGTGTTTTAACATATAACATATACGCTAATTTTTACGAACGATATTCTGTCTTCGTGTTTCAACATATAACATATACGCTAATTATTACGAACGATATTCTGCTTCGTGTTTCAACATATAACACATACGCTAATTTTTACGAACGATATTTTGTCTTCATACTATAACAGGCAGCATAGACGTAAAGTTTGGACTGGTGCCTTACAACGACAGTAACATCATTATTACTGAGGCCTCCTTACAAGACTCTGTAGACGATCTTATGAGAAAAATCAATAGCGGAGAGTTAAAACTTACAGACTTAAGTGGAAAACAACTTACTCTTGTTCGGATGTCAACCGCCACCACAACCACTACCCCAGCGCCACCTGGTAAGTCATTATATAAATTTTACTAATATGAACTTTAAATCGAGTAGCGCTAAATCGTAAACATTCTTATATATATATCGCCATACACAACGTTAAAAATTAGGCATAAAATTTATAAGAGCATAATATTAAATTTGATGTTCAAAATTATGCACAATTATTTAACGTTAAACTGTCACAAATCAAAGTCAGTTATGTCTCATGATAAATGTGATGATCATTCGTATATTTTAAATATAGGTGTTAAGAACGTTCAGTGTACCCAATGATATCCAACAGTAATTTAATCACATGGATATATGTTAAACTTAGACTTCTACTTCTGTAGTCCAGATACGATTTTTCATGATTAATATGGTTTTTTTATTTCAGATAATTCCTTTGACTTTACTCCTGTTATTTTCGGTGTCGTCGTTGGAGTTTTCGTCTTAATGATCGTGCTAGTTATAATGACAGCAATTGTTGTCAAACTTATGAACGGAAGAGATAATAGGATATCGCCTAATGACGTAAGAAACTACATTCCTTTTACGGTATTTCCGCCTTCAGTCTGGTGATTCAATTTATTTCAACCAATATAACATATATTAGTATTTTAAAGGGGACCAGTTGTCCCTGTGGTAGGGCTATGGATTTCGGAGCTGGCGACCCTGAGTCGAACCCGTGCGATACCACAAATATATACTTCTCTCTCTCTTTAAGCTGTGGGTGCATTATAAATTTGGGTGGTAGGGTGCAGATGACTGATTGTCTTCCGACGACGGCAGATAGTCTTAGAAGTTTTCCGTAAATACAAAATAAAAATACCCTTTTAAAAACTGAACAAATTAGAAAATAATGAGACCCAAGCTGTAGAATTGAGTAATGGTGGTTTATCCTAGATTAAAATGAAAATATAATATTTTTAATGATAATTACTTTTTTTACCTTCACTTCTGATCGAACTAAAACCTTCTATTCCTTCAAGTCTACAACCAAGGCAAAAGGAAACCGTGATGAAGAATCTGAGGTTTCATCCACTGGAGGGGGTTACGGCAAGCAGGGTGAAAGTTTTCGCCGTCAAAGCGTTCCTTCAGCCCCCGTATATCGGCCACCAACTGATGGTGAAATAAAAAAAACACCTCGCCCCCCATCATCGGTGGTAAGTTTTTGTCTATCCAAGTTATTTAGGTAACAAAATATCATCAATAGTTTAAAAAAAATAATCTGAAAACATTTCTTGAACGTGGTATTTTGTAAAATCTGATTGTGATTTTCTGAACCAAACAATGATATTGTAGATTGATAAGATATTAGTATGAAACTCAATAATCCACCCCCCACACCCGTCAGTGGCTTAACGGTATCTCTGAGGACTCAAATCACTAAAAACTTCATTTCGATACTTGTGCTGGGCACAACACAGATAGCCCATTGTAAGCCCGCCGACAGGGGGGAGGGGCCAAGGGAGCAACTGCCCAGGGGCCCGGGCGAATAAAACCTGGTTATGCCGTAAAGCCCGCAAAGCATCTTTAGGCTATATCATCATTTAATGATAAAAACCATAGTTTCTTGCTTTTCTTTACATATAGATGCTTGATATATTAAGAACGACTGAAATAATAATTTGAGTAATAATTAATATGTATTTGTTACTTTATAGATTTAATAGATATTTGTTGTTACTTTATTAACGTTTTTAAGCTTATACTGTGACGTAAAAACGGCTGCTGCTATGATTTTGTCTGGTGTATGAGCTCGTTGCTGTCCTAATTTAGAATCTTCTTTTTAATAAATTCTTGAAAATGTTAAAAAAAAGAGAGAGAGAGAGGGGGGGCGTGCTGGCTCTCGACGTTCCTGGTCCATTGTGTAGCTTTGTGCTAACAACAAACAATAATTACCTAGCTCAGAAATAGTCAACTAATATGTTAGTTGTCTAGTTGTTGTTTGAAGTTGATAAGTTTGGATGAAACACTTAAAATATTAAAACTTATTAATTCTGTGACAATATTTTATTTAATCTCGATACAGAACGTTTTCTTAGAATTTATCTAACTTTGTTTACAGCGAAGAGAACTGAAGATAGATGAGGAATGAACGTTTCGGAACAATAAGCCACCAGCAACGTTTGAAGATATTATCAAAAACGAAATTGAATACATATACGCATCACGTTTCTTTATATACGACTTCTACAACTAGTGATTGTGTGGTTCACAGCACGCTATATTCATTCCCTTCTCTGCGTTCGACATGATTTGTGTGATAAACAAATGTTCTGAGCTAAGATAATTCTACAAAGAAAAATAAGTGTTATCTTAATATTTCTTTAAAAAAATCCAATCTTACCTAGAATTTAAATAGTAAATCGTATGTAGATAATTTTATATTATTTAAAAAATTGTACCTTGCATAGATTTTTTTTAATTAAGCCTAATCTGCTTAACTATGATTAAGACTTGCGTACATGAATTTTGATTTAGGGCATTATATTAAAATTATACCTGACTGTACATAATCACACTACAGTAAAAACGTTACCTGGGAAATTGTAATAAAACAAAACCTTAATTAGATACTAAAACTAACGCTAAGACTGACCTGGTTGGTTTTAATACAAATTGAAACCTTGGATAGATAATTACACTAATGCTAAGCCTTACCCTAGTTAGTTATAATACAATGAAATGCCACCTAGATATTTACACTAATGCTAAACCTTATCCTAGTTAGTTGTAATACAATGAAACATTACCTAGATAATTACACTAATGCTAAGCCTTACTTTAGTGAATTATAATACAATGAAATTTTATCTACTTATACTAAAGCTAAGCCTTACCCTATTTAATTGCAGTACAATGAAATGCCACCTAGATATTTACACTAATGCTAAACCTTATCCTAGTTAGTTGTAATACAATGAAACATTACCTAGATACTTAAACTAGTGCTAAGGCCTTTCTCTAGTTAGTTATAATACAAAGAAACTTTATCTAAATATATATTACATATAATTAGATAATTTAATTTACACTGTTGGTGTAAATTAAAAAAGAAATTAGAATATTCTGTGCCTTTTACAATTATGTCTTTCTTTTCAAATTCATAAAGCTGTATAATTTCAATATAAATCATCAGCCTTCGTCGTGTGCCTTAAAATTATACGCTTTTTCTAAAAAAACAAAAACAATACCCGTGTGTGCCTTTTATTGAGAAAATCTAGTTTTTATGCCTTTTTTTTTATTACGACAGACTAGTACAGCATCACAAACCGTCACTGAATAATTAACAAGCAAAAAAGTACATAAATAATTTGTGCTACAATTACTGGTGAGTGCAAAAGTCACTAAAAACCTTGATTATTCCTGTTTGTTTTTAGTTTAAGTTATTCTTTATAATTAGTGTTCCAAAATTTAACCTTTTTTTTGATAAAAATCACAATTTATAATTCCACGTTTTAAAATAATTTATTGAATAACCTAAGTCCGTGTTTTGAAGAAAGGTGTCAGTATAAGAGCACATTTTTTCTCTACTGTAAAATCCTTTCGAGCATGATATAACCTTATATTTTTTTAGGCTTAGCTTAACGCGTTTCCGAACAAATGCATGTCGATAAATAACAATTAAAGTAAGAACAAATTAGAAATAAAATGCCTACTTTTATTGGAATTGATAGATTAAATATTCAGACTAGGCTGAACGATGTAAATGTAATACAATTCAGAGTGGATATTTTGTTGTTAATATTTACGTGTATTTGTCTAGGTAACTAATTTCTCAATGCGCCATTTTTATTGTGATTGTAAACGGCTTCATATTCTTTTATTGCAAAACAAGTGAAGTTGATGTCAACTGTGTTATATAACTGTGATTCTTATTACTAGTCTTAAAAATATATTGATTTTAACTCAGATTTAATCAACAATAGTTTGTGTTTTTTAATAGCATAATTTAGGTTGACGTCAGTGCATTAAAACGTTGATTGTATAATTTGATCACATTAATTTATTTTTGTTAATATATCTAAACATATCAGCATTTTATTTCTAATATAAAAACTAAACATCAACTTGAAGGCTTAAATAATAGTGCCTTAAAATGATAAGTAATTGATCGTGAAAGTTAATATTGCGTTTTGTAGTTTCGGTCAATACATCCAAAATCAGATATGCCAAAATATTGTTATTACTAGAACAATGTTGTAAACTATTCATACACATCAAACAACAATGTACACGCTAGTAATATTTATTTCCAGAAATGCATACTGTTTTTCATTAAACACATTTAATATTTCCGGTATCATTGCAGTTAGGGTACTTTTTAACTAATTTATTTAATAAGTTTTTTTGAGCCTAAATAAAACCTTAATAATAAAGATTAGTAATCGGCCATTCCGAAAGTGTATTAGATATATTATTACAAAACGGAACTACTGTGATGATATTAATTATATGAATTTTAGGGCTATGCTCGTTATATTTTTTGCATATATATATATATAGATAAATATATTTAATTTTTATTGTTATGGCAAGTTTTATCAAAATGTTCAGTTGGTCACATATATATAAAAATGATTAGCTAAATCTGTCACTGTTACCAATCGATATATTTTTTATAAGGGTTATTGCTGTCACGTTGATTTCTGATAATTAAATTGTTAATGCACTAAAGGTAATTGTGTTAACTTGTTTTGGAATTCAATTACAAAATAAATTTCACGGAGTCTATAATGTCAAATCGAGCGTAGTGCTCCCCAATGGCCCAACGGTACGTCACACGGTAAAATTCGGGTTTCGATGCCCGCTGTGCGCAGAGCTCAGAGTGTTGTGTAATTCGTTTTTTAAATATACATTTTTGTACTAAATTGTTAATTGATCCATGACTATTTTGGTTACATATGAAAAAGAAAGCAAAAATATTGCAATTAATCCCACAAATAATTTTTGGGGACCTCCTGTACTTTATATAGAAGATCAGTGATGTTGGTTTCGTCATTTCTTTACATTGAGTGTTGTAACAAGCAAAAACATCCCACCGATTTAAAAACAAATCAGTAGTTTGAGTGATAAGCTCACTGTTCGTTGTGCAAATTATTAATATTTCAAGGCCACAAGTATGTGTGAAGATGTCCAAGCCAATCTTTCGACTACAAGTATGATGTGAAGATGTCCAAACCAATCTTTCGGCCACAAGTATGCTTGTGGCCGAAAGATTGGTTTGGACATCTTCACACCATACTTGTAGCCGAAAAGTTGATTTGAACATCATCACATAAACCAATCTTTCGGCCACAAGTATGATGTGAGAATGCCCAAACCAACTTTTCGGCCACAAGTATGATGTGAGAATGCCCAAACCAACTTTTCGGCCACAAGTATGGTGTGAGAATGTCCAAACCAACTTTTCAACCATGAGTATGATGTCGTGATGTCCAAATGAACCTATCGGCTACTGGATTACCATGAGTATGATGTCGTGATGCCCAAATGAACCTATCGGCTACTGGATTACCATGAGTATGATGTCGTGATGTCCAAATGAACCTATCGGCTACTGGATTACCATGAGTATGATGTCGTGATGCCCAAATGAACCTATCGGCTACTGGATTAGTAATTTTTCCAGTAAACACATTCAATTATTTAAAACTGATTAGGACATTTTAATAACTAGGATTATTGTTGTATATTGAAGTTTTGGTTGTGATTTTTCTTCGTGTTGCACTATTAGTTAACGACTCGGTAGGTTTTGCAAAATAACAGCTGTGATCTATTAATTTTAATGTTCACTTGTTGTTCCATATTCTGTATTGTTCTTCAACGAGGAAAAAGATATAGATAACACAGACAACACTTTATAAACACAGAAGTACGTAATAAACAGTATTTTCTGTATGTACACTGAACAATGTAAAGTCACGTCATAAGTGAGCAAAGAAGAAAGTTTGTGGTTCACTCCCTACCTTATCGATACCAGGGACTTGTTCGTTACCTCCCTTCTCGATACCAGGGACTGGTTCGTTGCCTCTCTTCTCGATACCAGGGACTGGTTCACTGCCTTCCTTATCGATACCAGGGACTGGTTCGCTGCCTTCCTTATCGATACCAGGGACTGGTTCACTGCATTCCTTATTGATACCAAGGACTGGTTCGCTGCCTCCCTTCTCGATACCAGGGACTTGTTCGTTGCCTCTCTTCTCGATACCAGGGACTGGTTCGTTGCCTCTCTTCTCGATACCAGGGACTGGTTCGCTGCCTTCCTTATCGATACCAGGGACTGGTTCGCTACCTTCCTTATCGATACCAGGGACTTGTTTGCTGCTTTCCTTGTCGATATCAGGGACTGGTTTGCTGCCTTCCTTATCGATATCAGGGACTGGTTTGCTGCCTTCCTTGTCGATATCAGGGACTGGTTCGCTACCTTTCTTATTGATATCAGGGACTGGTTCGCTACCTTTCTTATTGATATCAGGGACTGGTTCGCTGCCTTCCTTATCGATATCAGGAACTGGTTCGTTACCTTCCTTATTAATATCAAGGACTGGTTCGCTGCCTTCCTTATTGATATCAGGGACTGGTTCGCTGCCTTCCTTATTGATATCAGGGACTGGTTTGCTGCCTTCCTTATTGATATCAGGGACTGGTTCGCTGCCTCTGTAAACTCTCGCTGTTCAGTGAAATGCAAGTACAAGAGAAACTATTACAATTTAGTTATGAATACTCTATCAGTTTTTGTTTCACGGACGGCCTGGTGGTTGTGAAGAATGGCAGTTGAGAAAAACTGAATTAGCCTTCATTACATAGGAATCAGATTTTGGTGCTTTAAGTCTTTGTAGTCACGGTGAATGATTTGTTTACAACAATGTCGGACTTTATTCTTGAACCTTAATCCAACATTGTTGGACTTTATTCTTGAACCTTAATTCAACAATGTCGGACTTTATTCTTGAACCTTAATCCAACAATGTTGGACTTTATTCTTGAACCTTAATCCAACAATGTCGGACATTATTCTTGAACCTTAATCCAACATGTGGACTTTATTCTTGAACCTTAATCCAACAATGTCGGACTTTATTCTTGAACCTTAATCCAACAATTTCGGACTTTATTCTTGAACCTTAATCCAACAATGTCGGACTTTATTCTTGAACCTTAATCCAACAATGTCGGACTTTATTCTTGAACCTTAATCCGTGTAATAATATTTTATACTCTGCTCGTTTAGCTGCGAGTTAATTCATGATATCTTCATCATAAGTGCAACTTATTTTAGATATTCAATAAATACCTCCCTTATGTTCGCGTTAGGGTTGTTGGTTTTTTCTAACGCAAAGCTACACTTGACTTGGTGTTTGTGTACAAGATCTGAAATGCGCACATAATGGTTTGTTCCTATGTTTGTTGGATTTAGCGCAAAGCTATTCGGAAATTATCTGCGCTAGATGTCCCTAATTTGAAGTGATAGACTAGAGAGGAAGAGCTAATTAACACCACCCACCGTCTACTCTTTGGCTACTCTTTTTTCCAGTGAACAGTGGATTAACCGTCACACGCAGACACCCAAACAGGCAAAAATGTGATGAAATGATACCTGGATGGAAAAAAAAAAGGCTGGTGAGATATTAACGATCATGGCTTGGCTTGGCCAAATTCTCGATATATCATTAAGGCTTATATATGGGTTTATATAGAAATCTAGAAGGCCAAAAATGGCAACCAAGCAACTTGGCTGAATTGTTTGGGGGTGTAAAATGACATTTGAAACAAAATTTCACAATCATACGTCAACAGAATAAGGTGTACTGCTCTGTTTAGAACAAACTAAAATCATTGTTTCTGACTCTATATCATGTAAACCCGTTGAGTGAAAGACAAACAAGATTACTTGTGTTATTGTATACATACGTAAAAAGTGGCAGTAATATAAGTTTGTAAAAAGAAGTGAACGAAGAATTTATCTTGTTTTATACATCTGTAATTTCCAAATAAAAGTAAAACATTGTCTTATATATATGTGTATAAATACTTAATACAGCACTGTTTATACATATGATGACGAACAGACATAATGGATCCGTGCTTTAATTTTCTACCCAGCTCTTAAAATAGATTTTAATTCTATGGAAAATCTTTAAAAATTCATAAGTACTAATTCTGAAACAGGCTATTGAACTTCACTGAAAAGCTAAAACTTTAAATTGTCGTACAAAAAATTTTTTTCTTACTGGTTGCCTTTGTTCACTATCGACAGATGATGCATTAGTGAGATTTACATGGTGCTAGATTGAATAGGTTAGAGTAAAACAATACTGTATTGTAAGACCCGATTGTTTTAACTACTACACCATATCTCTCTTAGTTAAACGGTTTAAACCTCATATAACTGTTACACTTACAATACGTGAATATTTATACCTACAAGTAAACGAAACGAATGGAGTTTCTTAAAGAGGTTTTTATTTCAACAAAGTATAGTTTAATTTAACAAATAACGTTTTATAATAATTCATATATTTGTTTTCGCAATATCTGTTTTGGATGAGAAGAACCATCGAGTTCTGGGGTTAATTCACGACAGCACACAACCATGACGTTTCATCCTTGACTTTTGGTGTGACGCTGAAGGAGAACCATCGAGTTCTGGGCTTAATTCACGACATCACACAACTGTGACGTTTCAAAGCCAAGTCATCCTTGACTTTTGGTGTGACGCTGAAGGCTGGAACGGACTGTCGTCTCCGCTCTAGACAGGCCGAAAGTTCTCCCGGAGCGTGTGCTTGCACCAATAACTCGTTGAAAATTTCGAAAACGTTGGTGGATGTCTTGGCAGAGGCTTCTATGAATCCATTTTCCCAGTCCATTGTCACTACACTCTCGGCTAACTCCTTCCCGACCATCCGATGGTCTTCTAGGTCACATTTGTTACCAACCACAACGATAGGAATGTTTCGAGGCCGAGTTTCGAGAACAAGCTCTCGCTCTCGACGTACCTCTTCAAAAGATTCGGCGTCATCGATGGAATACACCAGAACGAAGGCGTCACCAGTACTCACAGCTAGTCTTTTCATTGCTGGAAATTCGTAGCTGCCACTGGTATCAAGAATATCTAGCGTTAAAACAAAGTGGTCCATGTCAAATTGGCTGCGGTGGAACTCTTCCACGGTGGCCTTGTAATCGGTCGGAAAGGTTTCGTACAAGAATTGTTGAACAATAGCAGTCTTCCCAACACGCGGACTTCCGAGAACAACGACTATGTAATGAGTTTTCATTGGTTCTGACTCTGGAAGTGACTTAATGGGCACATTTTCTCCGGGTGGGAAGGACTCCATTCCTATAAATATATCAGGAATTTGACTGTGGAAAACAAACGATAAAAACATAAGAAAATAAAAATTTTAGTATAATAATAATAATCAAAGAAAGTATTTCAAATTCAACGTATTTAGGCTACTGTTTCGTAGGTCCTCATCAAAATGAAAAATAAACCTTGTAGTCAAATATATATATATATGTTTTCTGTAATTGAGAAAATAAATTATTATATTCAAAAATTATATATTTATTTCTAGAAACGGCCTTCCCCACCCCAACTCGTGGCTGGCATGGCCAGGTGGATAA